CGGGAGTCTGGTGAGATTGTGGAATGTGTTCATTTCAAATTCTATCCCTTGTCTTGCCACTCATCCATTTCAACATCCTCATCTCAACTATACATCCTATGAGTACTTGACCGCCTAACATTCTGCCCCATAAAGCAAAACTAGACTCATAGCTATCATATAAAACTTCCCCTTCTACGTCATTAGTATGCAACGATCACATAAAACTCCGGTTGCACGTCTCCACCTCTCCCAATCAGCTCTAATTCTATGTGCAACATCTTCCTCAATCTCTCTATTTTCCTGGATTATCGATCCAAGACATTCGAATATGCACGCTTTTTGCTACTTTTTGGTCTTCAACCTTAACTATTTCGTCGCCTCTACTCCTGTTATTACTAAACTTACATTCCATACACTCTGTCTTAGTCCAACTAATTTTAAAACCTTTGTATTCTAGAGCATTCCTCAAAATTTCTAACTTTGTGTTGACGCTGCTTTGGGTCTGATTGATCAAAACTAACATCGTTTGCGAACATACACCACGGTATCTCATCTTGTAGGTGCCTAGTTAAGTCGTCTATTCTTAAGACAAAGAGGTATGGATTCAACGTAGACCCCTGATGCAGACCCACTGTCACTAAAAGTTCACTCGTCTCTCCACTAGTTGTTCTCACACTAGTCAACACTCCCTTGCACATATCTCTCACTAAGTCGATATAGTATTTGAAGACTCATTTCTTTTCCAACACCCACCAAATTAAATCTCGAGGTACTCTATCATAAGCTTTCTTTCGATCAATATAGACCATGTGGAGGCCATTTCAATTCGCCCTAAACTTTGCCTATTGGAAAATAGCCTCAATTGTTGGCCTCCCTATTTTTCCCTACTACTTTCTAAATTTCCTTTTAGTTTTACACAAATCTGAGTTGGCCACTGGCCAACATTTGCAAGGAAGAGGCCTCCTTTGAGACCGAGTTCTCACAGATTAGAATTTGATGGGACCTGACTATTTAAATAATGAGTTTCCGAGTAGATCGCGATGGGATGGACCTTAAGTAGTTTGTTTTTTCCAAATTTTGCGTGTAAGCACCAACTCATGTGTCACAACAAGGAAAAGAATGAGTCTAATCGTCCCCAGTTTGACTGTAGTCCTAAATTTTTTTGTCGTAGTCTAGTCTATGCTTCTGCATGTATCGTTTTGCTGCAAGACAAGCTTTGAGCATTTATATTTTTCCATCGTTTTTATGCTTCAATTTAAACACATTGCAACCAACCATATATTTGCCAACTGGTCTATCTACTATCTCCCATGCATGGAAGTCACGAAGAGCACATACCTCTTCGTTCAGAGCTTCTTTCCCACTTGTAATATTTTCTAGCCTCTACGTAACTAGTGGATTGCATAGTTTTTTGCATTGGGATTGTATACAATGAGACCAAGCACTTTTGGTACAAGAAAGCTACAATCAATCTTAGCCATTGGACTCAAAATCCGACGGATTAAATTGTGCCACAACATTCAATAAATTTTGTTTTGGATTTTGTGCCCAGTCAATGACCCATGCCCGTCCACCTGATTTCACTTCTAATGGTAAATGATAATTAGACTTCCTCGTACCAAAAATAATGGTCTTATCATATACATTTCCTTTTGCATCACTCACATAAACACTTGATGCTGAAGGTGAATGTTTCATATCTAACCCATTCCAATTGCCTGTCTAATTCAACTAGATCTTCTGATTGGGATAGCCTGATCATCTGCATTGGAATTTGATGCATGCACATTGCTTCTTACACATTCTTTAGTTAACATGGGTTGCTTCCTTAATCGATGACTGTTGCATATTTGAAGGTTGCAATACATTCTTTTGTTAACATGGGTTGTCTTCCTTCATCAATGATTGTTGCTTATTTGAAGGTTGCAATCTGTCATCACTGCCTTGCATTTTGTCACTTTGAACCTCTACACATTTCCTTTCATTCATGGAAAACAAACCAATGTCTATATTCGCCAGTGCAGGTTTGTGATGTCTTTTGTAAGTTAGCAATGGCTTATTAATATGGTTGGACCTGTTTTCAATGATCCTTCACTGCTACCACTGAAAACAGTTGACGGATTTTGACTGGAATTTCAAGCCTGCAACACGGCTAATCATGTGCTACATCTTGGATGCCACATCCTTGGAGTAGTCCAGGTTCAACAATGGCCAGTATACCTTGCTGTGCAGCTGTTGGTAGGTATGTTCAGCTCACTGATCTGATTCCAGCAACTTCATGTGGTGAATCATTATGTCTCCCGATACTACTGTTCCCTTCCCATGATATGGAATTAACTTTGAAAACTTACCAACACTATCAAAAACTTGATTTGCTGTGCTTGAATTGACAACCTGTGCACCATCATTTGGCTGATTGATCTTCTAATAAAAAAAACTCATAGAGAGAGCTTCAGGCTGGTCAGAGACTTGAGTCACATTAGTGGCTATTTGATGTGGTCCAGAATTCACTTCATACCATGCTGAATTTCCAGCATTAATGTTGGAATAAAATCTGAACCATCAATTGGCAGCACCATGTCCTCCTTTTCCGCATAACTGACATGTGATACTAGCATTCTTTGCAAGCTGAATTGATGACGAGGTGCACTTCCTACATGGAAGATGGGGTGATTCATTCCGTCTCCCAATACTATTGTTCCCCTTCCCATGATATGGAATTAACTTTGAAAACTTACCAACACTAACAAATACTTGATTTGCTGTGCTTGAATTGACAATCTGTGCACCATCATTTGGCGGATTGATCTTCTAATAAAAAAACTTGTAGAGAGAGCTTCAGGCTGGTCAGAGACTTGAGTCACATTAGTGGCTATTTGATGTGGTCCAGAATTCACACCATACCATCCTGAATTTCCAGCATTAATGTTGGAATAAAATCTGAATCATCAATTGGCAGCACCATGTCCTCCTTTTCCGCATAACTGATATGTGATATTAGCATTCTTTGCAAGCTGAATTGATGACGAAGCTGTGGTACAAGGTAGTATACCTCTTCTACCAAGGTTATCATTCTGATCGTGTTCTATTCCTTGTTTACTGCTCTCCCACTACCGCGAGAAGAAGAGAACTTGACATTTTGACCAACATGTGATTCTTGAGAACCTTTTTTCTTTATCTGAGGATTGGGTGAAACGAACATTGTCTCATATTGCAACGAGAGAGGGCGGAGTCATTTGAATGATGACAAGTGTGGCTGACAAGACAAGATGCAATAGCCATGTGGTACGAAGAGCCCATGCCTGCAAGAGTTTCTTTGTACCTTATCTTTGTCTTACATGATAAGGGATGAGATTGTTTTCGAGTTTTTAAATTCCATTTTGGATTACATAGACCTTGCTTTTAGGACTTGGGAATAAGTCTCGTGTAGACAATTCCATAGTTGTATCACACTGTAGTCATCTGTAATCCCAAGTAGCACTTGTTGAGCCAATGTGGACGTAATGTATGCAACCAATGCTTATTTTGCTTTGTCCAAGTACTGTATGCAGGATTTTCACTTGAAACCCTCTTGCAAACTCCATTCTCATCTTTTTCTTCTTTAGGAATTTGTTTAGTTGGCATAGGATTAGATCCATCCAAGTGGCCCATAAGGCTGAGACTTTGAATGAATGGTAAGATTTGACGCTTTAGTGTAAGGAAATTCGTCAAGATCAACTTTACAATTGAGGGGAAGAGCCATTGAATGGGGACATATTTTTATTTTTTTTATTTAAAATTTTAAGCCCCTGTTCTTTTTTGCATAGCTTGTCGGAAACCCAGAATCTTTTCTAGGAAACTGATCATGGAGATGTTACGGAGCTCAGACATTTTTGATAAGAGAGATCAGGAAAGGAGGAGAAGAGAGTGATTAGGTATAAAATAATCTATATGGAAGAATCTAACGTAGAGTATCAAAAGACGATATTAAAAAGACTCAAAATAAGAAAATCAAGTGATGAAGTTAGGTTTATGGGAGAAGATCCAAGTAAGATTAAGAGAGAAGAATTAGAGGAAGAAATAATCTGATTTCAAGGATGGAAAAAGGAGATGGACTTAGATTTTCAGAAGAAGCATAAAGGAGGTGAAATTACGGTTTATGGGAGAGGATTAGGATCCTCAGGTTAGGTTTTGGAATGAAGATGAGCAGATTGCTTAGGGTTTGGAAGAAGATGGAGAAGATTGATTACGATTTTACAGTTAGAGTTTAGGTGGAAAGAAAATATCAAGGAAGAAGATGAGCAGATCAGTTAGGGATTTGAAGAAGTAGAGGTAAGAACGAAGAAAAAGTAAAGATATGGGTACTTGATTATGCTGAGAAGATCTTGAACCTTGCTAGGGTACCTTGTAAAAAATGAGATTTGAAGAAAGAGGGAGCGGAGAGGGGCCACAATCAGTTCCACAATCAGTTCCACACCTTTTCTTATTGGTGGGAAATTCTCTTCATCTCAGTTTATATATTAGAACTTTAGAGTATGGTATTAAATTGATACTCTGTACACATATAATGTATTGCAGCTATACTACTGATCATCATATTACAATTTGCCCTACACTGCTCCTACACATCACTCCCTAGCTTGATGTTGACTCTGGTTTTAAAGTGAGTCTTCTACTGCTTATTCATAAATTCAGTGTTCCAACATGCAACAGTTTATCTAATATTCACAGCATAGTTTCCACCTCTTTTTCCTGAAGATCCAAACCTTGAAACATTTGCTCCCTGACATTATTAATGTTGATTTCCGCTAGTGTTCGTTTATTTTTTGGTTGAAATTGTTTGAGATGAGCCTTTATTCAGGGCTTGTGTACTAATCTTGTGCTAAAGATTTATTCAACTCAACCATTTGTTGGGTTCCAATGCCCTTGTTTTATTTGTACTGATATGCTGACTGCTTTTTTACTGTTGATGTAGGTTATTTAAGTCCTTGTTCCAATTATATTTTAATGGACTAACTACCTTTGTGACAAATATGCAGGTGGGTTGATGATCACTTGGTGCATGTCCTATCACCAAATATTTACAGGAGCACTTCTGAGGCACTTGAGTCATTTGACTATATCACAGAACACAGTAGGTTGATGGCCCCTTTACCTCATGCTTCCTATGAGCACTCAAAATCTGACTGAAAACTCCTTCCACCATTGTACTTGACCGCTCTCAGTGGATGGGGTCTTTACTCTTTGCAACGTAAAATTAGTTGGTCGTTGAGGAGCCCCTCCTTGGGGTGGACTAATACAAAGAGACCTCTTTCAGATAGATTCTCTGTGCATTGCTTTGCACGAGGATGTAAATTACAACTACTAGTCATATTATGGCGAGACATAAATCTTACCCATTCATCATGAGTGATAGATTTTAACAAGGGTCCTCACTGGAGTTATGGCCTTTCAAGGCCTTAAAACCCCAACATATTCATAGCTCTTAAACTCAGTGGGAGTATAAGAGCGATATGACTCTATGATCTTAGTACATCGGGACCAAGAGTCAGGAACCCTGAGAGTCATGAGGTCGATCTATGTGTGAAAGGCACCGAGAGGGTTGAGGGTTACCTTTAGTCAAGGTCAGTTATAATTTTATGCTTCATGAGTATGAGATGGCCAGGGCATAACGTATATATGATTGATTGTGATATGAGCTCGACATTTTATTTTGTGTGTTTTAGTCCTGTATGAGAAGGCCGAGGCGCAGAGAGGACATAAGCTTCAATCCTTGACATAGTGATCTTCTCATGCATGTGCATGAATAGTTGCGAATGGCAAACCGCTCTTCCAGATGATCCTCTGTGAACAGATATGCACATGTGCCAAGAGAGGAACCCTTGCATCTATTTGAGTGCATGTCCTTCGGGGTGCACTTGTAATCTACTACAACTTAAGAATCCTGTGCAACACATTGGTTTAAGTCAAGCATGAGCCCTTGATTAGTTTTGTGGGTCATGGGTTTGTTGGGTCATATTGAGAAGGTGAATTTGGATTCCAGGTTTACCTAAGTGGAACGCTCTAATGCTTAATTTTATTTTCCTCGTTAATATTTTTTAATTGGTGCAAAAATGTGTTATTTTGATTAAATAAGCTTTGGTGAAGTTTTGGGAATTTTTTGGGGATTTTTCTAAATTTTTATGAGCCCAAAATGGTAATTTCTAGAATCATTTCCGAGAAATGACAAACAAGGACAGACACGCAGGACCCACATGTGACATCCAAGCAGTTGGTTAGCCTTCAAGTTCAAATTAGGTGGGCTTCTCAACATCTGGACAACTATTTTCTTCACTGCTATTTGGTTTCTTTGGGAGGAGCAAAATAGGAGAATATTTTGATTTAACGCAATGATAAGAGAGCAGCTTGTCAATCAGGTTACTACCCATGTTAAGGCTCTAGCAGAAGTGAAAAATGGGTCTCTCACCTGTCAAAAAAGGTGATTATTGGCAATCCACAAATTATTTGGCAGCAGTAGAAGCCAAAAGGCCAGATCCCAGTCGCAAGGTCATTTTCGAAGGCTATGAGTTGTAAATTTAATATTGATGGTGTGTCCTTGCACAATCTTGGTTTGGCAGGTGGTAGCGGGGTCATAAGAAATGGCAATGGTGGTTTTGTGGTGGCGTTTGCTACAGACTTAGGGGTCGCAACGAATAAGTATGCAGAATTTAAGGCTTTAGAAGAAGGCATTCTTTTGGTTATTCAAACGGGTGCTTCCCGATATTGATAGAAAGAGATTCATCTCTTCTAGTCAATTACATACAATAGCTGCTAATTTCCATGCGAGGCCTTCACCCCATAGGTGATCTATTGCCCATATTGTTCGCGAGGTGAACATAGTAGCTGATGCACTTGTTAAGAGAGCATCAGCTTATTCAGGCACCACGATTTGACATAGTTGTCTGCCAGACTTTCTTTCCGTTCTTTGTGTGCTGTGATTTCCCATAATGAGTACATTTTAACTTACCTTTTTCGTCAACTATGATGCCCCTGCAACCACTACAACCTCCGCCTCAACTTCCACTACACTCACGACCATGATTATTAAAAGTGTTGGAACTTAGAGCTGATCTTTCAGGTTCACCAATGGATGCAGCCATAATTTTCCAATGAATTTTTTCATGTTGAAGATGGGAGAAAACCATTCCAAGAAATGATATAGTTTAGCCGCCCAAAAAATTGGATTTAATATTTACATATTGGGGCCTAAAAGATATTCTTCCTTTGTTCCACCTTGTGTATGTAGTCTTCTGCACAATTTGACTAGTTTATGGGTTTAGTGATTCAGCCCATCCCAAAAACCAAGTAGCACAATAGTTACCAATTGCTAATTTTTTGTTTGAAATTGCTGCTTTGATGCTCACACTCTTAGATTTTTACTTTGTTCTTTTGTGAATAGGCTTCAGCCACCATCCCCTTAGTCCTTCGACGTATTACAATTAATAAATTTGCGACTCAAATTTGGTTGCATAGAGTTTACAATCATTTCATAATAATTACCATCTCATTCGCTTCCCAATCAGCTTAAGAAGATTCCTTTACATCTGGTTTTAGTTACGACCATCAATATAACCTAACTTTTTTCTACCCCCATGAAATAAGCTAACAGTCTTGGCCCATTCCAGATTGTTTGTGCCATCAAATTTAAACATAGTGATTTAGACTCTAGAGTACTCCATACCTGATGTTTGTTGTGACATTAATCGTTTCTAAGGCACGAGAAAACAAATAACAATGTTGCTGAAATCGGGATACCCCCACATATCTCTCTAACCACTATTCATAAGCACTGGAAGCGCCATGCATTGGTCAATCGGTTATACAATCATGGCCACAAATTTGAGATGTACCATGGTTGTATTGCTTTTGATCCACATTAAACAATTGTTCCCCGTCCCTGAAAAATAAAATCTCGACATATATATTCCAGGTTTCTTGTAAGGAGGAAAAATCCTAACCAATGGATCACTAAAAACCCTAAATGTTTTTTCTTTTGTAGCAAACCCTAGTAATTGACACCTTTTGCAGAAAAATCTGATAAGAGAACAACCCCTAGAAAATAACACTTCATTCGACAAGCTGTATACAACTCCCCATGATCTTTTAAAAAATAGCCTTCTTAGGGCTTCTTATTTGCTAAGGGATGGTATACAATGAGCCCATTTATCTTTAGTAGAAGGAGGTCACAATTACTTACAACCATTCGATATAAAATCTGATAGCTGGGGTGTGTCACAAAGTTAAAGAATTTTGTTTTTTTGAATTTTGAGCTTGGTCAATGGAATAAATGCAACCCACCCAATTTCACATCCAATGGTCAAGATTAATTGTGACCACCTTATACCAAATGTAAATGGTCTCATTGTATAGTTCTCCATTTGCTAAACTTTCTATCATTGTATGGCCATACTGCTGAAATAGGCAGTTACATGGCTAGTATTTCCCACTAATATTATCTTTGAATCCATGCCGTACTTTGATACCAAGTTGAAAATATATGATTTATGCCTACACTAAATGTCGATTTACTAATGGAGAAAGAGAAATAGAGAACTAGAATAACGAGAGTGAATAAATATATGGAGAGAGAGAGAGAGAGAGAGAGAGAGAGAGTAGTGTGTAGAGAAGAAGAGGAGGAGAA